TGACGCAAAATGCTACTGTCAACCAGTAACTCAGCAAAAAAATATGTCAAGGAAAAAATTAAACTCTTGTAGTACATCAGTACTGATAACTCTCAGTCGTCAGTACAAGGCAGAGTACACATCAGTACTGATATAATTTCTGATTTGTGCCCGCTGGAGCAGTGACATTATTATGTAAACCATTTGATAATCCTTTTGAAAATAGTCACAAATAAATTTGAAAAACTTATCTCGATATATATGACGCAAATGCTACTGTCGAGTAGTAACTCAGCAAAAATATGTCAAGGAAAAATTTAAACTCTTGTAGTACATCAGTACTCATAATTCTCAGTTGTCAGTACAAAGGCATAGTTAATCAAACACACCCGTGAATGACTCAAAGAAAACATCGTTTTGAAAAAACAAAGCTATGCCTGCTTCTGCCAGTCCCAATTCAGAAAGACCATCAATACATAAAAATAATTACCTCAAGCAAAATGCAAATATAATACATCTTGTACTGATGAAAATCTAATTAATCTGTAAAAAATACTCACAGATTATCTGGATATAAACAATCCTTTAAAAATACAAAAATTGTTTAAAAAAACATTAGCACCACACATAGTCTCACTGGTATTTGGTATGTTCAATTACAATTCAATCACCAGTCTAAGTACGATAATAGAGGAGTTCAGACCTCCATCAACACCGACCCTGACACGTGCAAGTGGGATAAGGAGCTGATAAGTACAGCTTGACTATATGAATCGGTGCAACAGTAAAATGCCATCATCACCACTGCAGAGACGTGCAAGCGGGATTTAGCAGGTCATAAGTACAGCTTGACAAGACTAGTCAGTTCAACAGTAAAAACCATTTAACTTGGACGGTTAGTTCTTCGACGCCTCCACCCGCGCCACCCACTGAGCAGTTGCCACAAGGGACTACAAACGGTGACCCCATGCCACAACACCCACTACACCCACGCCCCCAACAAACCGCCTCCCACAAATTCCCATCCACACACTGCAAAAAAAACCATTATCTTCCATCTCTCCCTCATTCCCACAAACCACCATTGCCGCTTCCATCTCCACTGCACACAAACCAAAAACATCTCTCTCCCAAGCCCACAGTCGTCGGAGGAAGGCGATGGGAGAGGAACTGTCCGCCAAGCATCATCATGCCGAGACGTCGAACAAGAGCAGAAACCTCGTCGACATTCACGTCCCCGGCGAGAAGCGCGAGTACACAACAACCCTCAAAGGGGTTAAGCTCCACGGCAATGAGACGCTGGAGATCGTCTGCACCAGCATACCAGAAAAGGCTGACGAGGTGATCTCCAGGATATGGAGGAAGCTTGGCGGCAAGAGTCCAAATTGTAGGATCGTCGGCGTTGGTGTGCACTACACCAACAAAGATGAACCTCCCCAGATGGCAGCAGTCCTGCAGTTTTGCATCGACGACCTCTGCTTGGTGTACCACATCGCAGCGGCCACAAAATGGTGAGCAATCCTACTCATTTGCCCTGTATATGGTTTATCTATTTTATTAGTACCGTATCCTTAAAATTTAATCAGACTTGTTTCCCAACTAGATGTACTAGTGTGGTTTCCGAAAAGTGGATGCACTACTGCATTTTCTCAAGTAGATATACTATAAATGTATTTTTGAACCTGATACACTGGATTACTATTTCGAAAATCTTGTGGAAGATTAAATTCTGAAGTTGATCGACTAGTGTAGTTTCTGAAGTTGATCCAATAGAGTAGTCTATGTACTCGATGTATTAAAAAGATGTTTCTAAACTTGATGTAGTGAAGTATTTTATGAATTTGATCTAATGTTATTTTCATAAGAAAATAAACTAAGGACTTGGTGAAGAACCGGTTATGTGTTATCCTATTCAACAAAAGTAGACTAAACTAGTACCAATGCAGAACATAGAACATTGACTGAAACTATGTATAATCCAAAAAGAAGAATAACATGATGTACTTAATTTAATTTTAGAACTTTTTTTACTAGTTTTTGAAGTACATTCATCCATTGTTTATCCTACATAAACAACTACTTCATGGATTCATCGCTTGTAAAACAAAACAAAAATGAATAATTCAAACATCAAAGTAATGCTAATATTCAAAATGTCTCTCGCCTTGCAGGCCCAAGCGCCTGACCGAGATGCTGCATCATGAGAAGTTGTTCACATTTTCCGGTTTCAGCATTGAAAGCGACAAAGAGAAGCTGAAGTTGTCCGGTATGGAGATCAACCCCAACAAGTTCATCGACATTCAGCCCAAGTGGAGAGTTCCATACACCGGAAAAGAGTATGACTCCTGCACTGATGTTGCAGCCAGTGTCATCCACCCGTTCTACAAAGGCATGAAGAAGAAGATCAACACGCAGGAAGACTACAAACTGTGGGGGACCAGCCCGCTGCTAGTCAACCTCATCGAGTACGCAGGAGTAGATGCGTACGCCACGTACAAGTCATGGTTCATAATCGACTACATCACAGATGGTTCAGAATATGCGGAAGAGCGGGAGGCTGAAAACTATTATGACTGCCCCTATTGCCCCTTTACGGGATGAAGATACATCAGAGCCTGCCTTCGTTTTACTTCCGCTTGTGCTTTCCTTTTATCTTGTTGTTTCAAATTAGTAGTTTTCTCTTGTTGGGTTGAACGAGTATGATTATGTCGTGCTTTTCATGTTTGAACAAGTTTAGTTATGTCATCAAGTACAATGTTTTGCTTATCTCATTATATAAGTTTGGTTTGGTACCTTCGTATGTTGTTAATCCATCATTTTAAAATTGAAAAGTAGCTTCTGAATGGAATGTTGTCGCTGCTCTAAAGTACTAGTTATGATGCAACTAATCACACAACGTTGCTCCATGTCAGTACAACTCAGTACACTTGATCGGACAGTACATACTTACTACAATAAAAAATACAAAGAAGCATCAGTCCGTAAGCGCTACTATGAATGCACTATCAGTACAACTCAGTCTACATGCAAGTACCATAGTTCTGAAAATGACACCAGAAGACACTTGAGAATAATCACAAAAACAAACACAAAAAAGAAGGCAAAATACTCAAATGAAAAAGATTACACTCACACAGAACTGACAAGAACTAGAACAAAAAGTATCAGTCCAAGTTACTGGTGGAGTCAAGTACTAGATTCAAACAAACAAAAAAAAACAAAAAAATTGACCGCCCAAGGTCAGGCGCAGGCCCTGACAATGCTAGATACTTGAACTCGAGCCCGTGGGCGAATCCCTAGTAATCCGCACAACACAGGAGCCGCCGACCAGGGCCCACAGGTCAAGAGAGAGAGAGGGCGCCGTGTATAAGCGCTCAGGTAAGTCTTCAGAGGAGTTCGACTGGTGAGCCTCGACTGTGCTTATAAATAGGTCCGAAGCCCCCTCGACTAGCGAGGTGGGACTAAAGCCAGAGCGCATGTGCACGACGCACTGCACAGCCGCGCGAACGAGCTATCTGGGCCGGAAAACGGCCCAGTAGCCTGCATCGTCAACAGAACACCCCACCAATAAGCCCAGGTATACAAACCAGAGGGCGGGACAAAAGAAATATAAACTACAAGAACAATGTTTGTCAATTAACCTCTACAAGAAAAAAGGAAAAAATATGATACAAAAACAATGAACCTCTAAAAGAACAGAACTTAATAGCCTATCTGTTAAATGTACATAATTTAAAAAACCGAATTAAATATTACTTTCAAGTTCAACTACTAAAACTCAAAAAGTTCAAACATATAATGTTTGTGAATTATGCTAAATTTCTTATTTATAGAAAAACTAACAAGTTCAACTACTAAAACTCTAAAAGTTCAAACATATAATGTTTGTCAATTATGCTAAATTTCTTATTTATATAAAATCTGACAAGTTCAACTACTAAAACTCAAAAAGTTCAAACATTATTTAAAAAACCGAATTAAATATTACTTTCAAGTTCAACTACTAAAACTCTAAAAGTTCAAACATATAATGTTTGTCAATTATGCTAAATTCATTATTTATATAAAATCTGACAAGTTCAACTACTAAAACTCAAAAATTTCAAACATATAATGTTTGTCAATTATGCTAAATTTCTTATTTATATAAAATCTGACAAGTTCAACTACTAAAATGCAAAAAGTTCAAATAGAATTTATTTGTCAATTCTGCTAAATTTCTTATTTATATAAAATCTGTCCACACCACAACGAACGATCTGGTCGTAAAAATAATCTCAAACCCCCACCCCCATTCAAAAAAATAAAAGAACTCAGTTCAAACATACATATGACATCAGTACTAAAACAGCAGGATCAGTCAGGCCACTCGCACCATTGTGACATCAAATTTGAAACCCGTGCGCTGTATGAAATTACAATTCAGTTCACACAGTACTAAACCATAAGTGCACTAAAATGAGAATACAAAAACTATAAAGGCCTAACTTAGGTTGGTACAAATGAAAATAAAATAAGTACAAGTTTTGAGCAACAACTCCCAGGGCACCGAAAAAATGTTTTGAAATAAACTAGTGTATAAGACTTGAATGGAAAAAACAATACTTAACATCCACACGGAAAAACATCACAGAGCATACGTCACCTAAACAGTGCAAAATGCCATCTTCACCACTGCAGAGACGTGCAAGTGGGATTTAGCAGATTGTTAGTACAGCTTGACAAGACTAATCAGTGCAGCAGTAAAAAAACATTTATCTTGGACGGTTAGTTCTTCCAGGCCACCATCCGTGCCACCCACTGGGCGGTTGCCACGAGGCACTGCCAACGGCAACCCCTACGACCACAACACCCACGCCCCCGACGAACCGCCTCCCACACACCACCGTCGACGCACTGCAAAATATCCCATTGTCTTCAATCTCTGCCTCATTCACAGAACCACCATTGTTGCTTCCATCTCCACTGCACACAGACCAAAAACTTCTCTCTCACAAGCCCACAGTCACCGGAGGAAGGCGATGGCGGAGGAACCGTCTACCAAGCGTCACCATGGCGAGACGTCGAACAAGAGCAGCAACCTCGTCGACATTCACGTCCCCGGCGAGAAGCGTGAGTACACCAGAATGCTCAAAGGGGTTGAGCTCCACGGCAAGGAGACGCCAGAGATCGTCTGCACCAGCATACCATACAAGGCCGACGAGGCGATGAGAAGGCTCAGGATGAAGGGCGGCGGCTTGTATCCGAGCTTCATCGGAGTTGATGTGGAGTACACCAACCAAGAAGAACCTCCATAGATGGCGGCAGTCCTGCAGTTGTGTGTCGAGGAACTCTGCTTGGTATACCACATCGCAGCAGCCACAAAATGGTAACCCATACTACTGTTCATTCATCTGTTGTACTAGTACTACTCACTATAAACTTAATTAAACTTGTTTCCCAACTAGATGAACTACTATAGTTTATGAAGTGGATGCACGAGTACATGTTTCTCAAGTTACATGCATTTCTGAAACTGTGAAGTGGATTGTTTCACCAGATTAGCATCTGATAAAATGTTTATAGCATTCTGAACTTGATGCACCAAATTAATTTCCGAACTTGATGTACTAGCATAGATTCTGATCTTGATGCACTAGTATAGTTTATAGAATTGATGTATTAAAAGATCTTTGGTGAAGTGGTATAGGTCCATATCTTGATGCACATGTTTCTCAAATTAATTTCTGAACTTGATATAGAATTAATGCACAAAGATGTATCAAGCACTGGTATAGGTCTTTTATTCAACAAAAAAGAAAAGTAAACTTGAATCAAGTAGCACATATATCATTGACTCTCGTAAAATGATTCTTGAATTTGGTGAAGCATTTGGTGAAGCAATGAAGATAGCAAAAAAGAAAAAATAACACGGTGTAGTTGAATTTAATTTAGGACTTTATGTACTAGTTTCTAAACTACATTCATGCAGGACTCAAATATATAAGCATCTACCTCATGGATTATCACTTGTAAAACCAAAAAAAGTAGAAGAATTAAATCTTTAAAAAAGAAGACTAATCTTTAAATGTGTGTCTCCCCCCTGGCAGGCCCAAGCGCCTCAAAGACTTCCTGCAGGAGGAGACATTGTACACATTTGTCGGTTTCAGCATTGGAGGTGACAAGTAGATGCTGGAGAAGTCTTGTTTGGAAATCAACCCCAACAACTTCATCGACATGCAGTGCAAGTAGAAAGATCCAAAGACCACCAAATACTACGACTCCTTGGCCGATGTTGCATGCGGCGTCATCCACCCATTCTACGAAGGCATGAAGAAGAAGATGGACATGGCAGACCACAAACTGTGGGGGACCATCCCGCTGCCAGACAACCTCATCACGTATGCAGGAATAGATGCGTACGCAACGTACAAGTGATGGAAGACAATCGACAACATCATGACAGGTTGGGATATTTCAAAAGAGTAGGAGGCTGACCCCTACTACCACTGCAACTTTGCGGATGAAGATGCATGAAAGTCTGCATTCGTGTTGCTGGCGCTTCTGCCTGTCCTTAGTCTTGTTGTTTCAGATTTGTAGTTTGCTTTCATTATGTGGAACCAGCTACTTTATGTTATGTGTGTCAGAGTTTGAACAAGTTTGCCTATGTCTATCAAGTAACATCGTTTGCTTATGTCGTCCAACAAGATTGCTAGCTTCCTATTTTCTTGATCCATCATTTGAAGTTGAAGTGGGTTGAAGTTGAAACTTGGTGGCTGCCATGCAGCACTAGTCATGGAGAAATAAAAATAACACATAAATACATTCGCAAAAAAAAACAGTGGCAGACTAACTAAGGACAAAAGCAAATAGTAGCCTTGGACGCTCAGTACAGCTTAGACATGAACGGCAGTACTATCACACTAAAAAATCAGTTTTTAGTTTCAGAAGAACACCAAAAGGACTAAGTTTCAGTTGAGGACAACATTCAGTACTAAAAGCATCGTGCTAATAGTAGTTAGAAATTCACTAAGTACTGCAACAGGAAAAGCAAAGAACCATCAGTACGTATTTCCTAGTCACTGGCATGCTAGGACTGATAGTTCTGGTACACTTGAACACACGGTACATTCATTCTACAAAATATAAAAAGGAACGGGAAGCTTCAGTTCCCATTCCCTAAAACAGTGACACACTAAGAATAACAGTAATAATACAACTAAAATCTCCGTACAACTTATTCTATACGGCAAGTGTTATGATTATACCAAACATTGCATGGGGAAGAACCACGGCCTAGAAAAAAGAAGGCCAAAACTAAATCAAAAAGATATCAGTTCGACAAAGGAGAAAAATCACAAGAAACACAACAGAAGACGTACTAGCCTCAAACAACACAAAAAATAAACAATCAATCAAAGTACTAGCACAATTGAAATCTCAGTACAACTTAGTTTATTCGGTAAGTGCTATGATGATACCAATTAATGCCTTGAGAAAGATATAGTTTTGAACTTAACATCGCTATCTCTTAAACGTAGCTAATTTAAACCAGTGCTTTAACTTTTACTATGAAGTTCAACTACTAAAGTTCAAGAAGTTCAAACAAAAATTTGGCACCAAATTTGAAAATCCTTACGCTGAATGAGATTACAAATCATTACTAACAGAACTATATCATAAGTACAAGAAAACGAGAGTACAGAAACTATAAAGGTCCAGCTTAGGTTGGAATCAGATAAAAATAAAACAAATCTCACTTTCTCAGCAACAACTCGTAAATACAACTGAAAAACGGTGTATTTAGTTCAACTAGTATATAAGTCTTCAGTACAAAAAATAAAACTTAACCAAAACGAATTCCCGATGAAACATATAAGTCTTCAGTACTAAGACTGACAGTAGAATAGGGGGTAGGTATGGAGAGGCAAGATCCTAGCTATGGAGTAGTTGTAGACGCAAGGGGTTTACGAGTTCAGGCCCTTCTCGGAGGAAGTAACAGCCCTACGTCTCGAAGCCCAGAGGCGGTCGACTGGATTATATGCGTATGAGTTACAGGGGTGCGAACCCTTCTGTCAGTGGAGGGGGGTGGCTTAGTGTCTGCCAGGACCCCCGCCAGCCCATGTAGCGGAGGGTTTAAAGTACATTAAGGCCTGGCGTTACTGGTAACGCCTTACATAAAGTGTCATCATGGCCATAAAGACTACTTAATTACAGACCGTTTGGATATAGAGTGGCTCTTGATCTCCTGGTGGTCGACTGAGTCTTCATGGTCGAGTGTCTTCGAGTCCGTCGAGTGGAATCCCTCTTGGTCGACTGGAAGGCAACTTCTTCTAAAGATGTCCTTGGGGAGGGTACCTTGGACAGGTCCATGACCCTACCCTAGGTACATGACTTCATCATTAGCCCCCGAATGGATCGAGGTTTGAGTGATGAAGGAGTTGATAATCTTTCTGACCTGTTTTTTGTGTTCTGAGTATGTCTCACTCTGGAACAATGACTTTTTAGCGATGGCATCAACTTTTCTTTCAGTCGCCTTGATCCATTCTTTTCCTCTGTCGAGTGAACTTTTTGAACTTGGGAGATTTCCGAGCGACGGATCGTAGGAAATCTACTGTCAGACAAGTTGCTCTGCTGTTAACGGATTTAGCGGGATCCGAATTTTGGGAAGCGTGCGAAGTGGAGAAGACCGCGGTACTCGGATGGGATAAGGCAAAGACGCCTCGATTTCCGCGCCGCCTTTTTCGCCACGTATCGTGCGCGCGACTGTTTATGGATTTGATAGGATCGCCCGGGCCTACTAGTCAACCACTCGGAAGTGACCTTATTTAAGGTGCCGGTCGGAGGTTTTTTGAACAGTGCGTCCTCATTCTCCTCTCCCTCTTCCTCAAATTCGCCCACTGCACCTGCTTCTATCTCCGCTCATCTGCTCCTCGCGTGTCTTGCTGGCGATGATGGTGAAGGAGAAGACGGCGGCCCTGGAGCGGGCGAAGAAGGTGATGGCAAAGGCAAAAGCGAAGGGGAGAGCGACCAGTCAGGGCGGATCCTCGTCGCGGTCCAGCTTGCCGCAAGGCTGGATCCAGGGAGACTGGATCCGCTCGACCATCACCCAGAAGGACCTCGACGATCTGGCCAATGAGGGACTGATCTCCCATGGGTCAGCAAGGCTTCCGGGGACAGAGTGGCAACCGCAGCCACAGGAGGGTGAGTGTGTACTCTTAGCCACCCATGTAGATCGCGGGTTCTCTCTGCCGCCGAATCTTTTCTTTCGAGGGTTTCTGAACTTCTTTGGGGCACAACTCCATCACTTCACTCCCAACTCCATTGCCTATCTCGCCGCTTTTGTGTCGTTGTGCGAAAACTTCTTGGGTTGTCGGCCGCACTGGGGTCTCTTCAAGCACATATTCACTTGTCGTTCTCAGACGGTGAAAAAGGCGAGTCCGAATGACGAGAGGACCAAAGTAATACAGATGTGTGGGGGTCTTGGGGTCCAGATGAGGAGTAAGAGTGCCTTTCCAGCCATGACCCTTCCCGAGTCGGTTAGAGGGTGGCAGTCGACCTGGTTCTACTGCCAAGACAAGTCAACGCCGGGGCAGTCGACTGGTCTCCCTCCGTTCTCCATGGACCGAGTGAACAAGCCATCTTCCCTGAAGGTGCTTCCGGAGGAGAAGGCTCAGGTTCAAATGTTGATGGAGCGTGTAGTCCGACTCATTCGCGACGGGATCACTGGCTTGGATCTTTTGGAGGTTTTCCTTCGACGGCGCATTCAGCCACCCCAATACCGAGGCCACCCGATGTGGTTGTACTCTAGTACCGAAGACACCACTTGGGTCCACCCAGAGGAGGTTGACGACGCCACATTGGAGAGGTGGATGACTGCCATCACAGGGAACAAAGATAACCCTCGTGGGGCTAGGAGGATCCCACCACTCGACCAGTCTTATGAACCAGACAAGGTATCACCACATATCTCCGACTGTAATCATGTTCTGTTCATTCTGTTTTGCTGCAATTCAGTCGACTGACTTTTATCTTGTTTTGTTGTCTTTCAGATCACTACTGAGTTGTATTCGATGCCCAACGGGGTGCAAGCACAGACCGAGGAAGAAGAAGGAAGTGGAGGCGAGAGCCCGGAGGAGAGGGAATCGGATGATGATGATGATGATGAAGATGATGGCTCTGATGAGGAAGAAGAGGAGGAGGAGGAGGAGGAAGTCGCACCTCCCCGTTCTGAAAGACGATCGAAGCTTGTCCATGACCCTGCAGTTGAGCGCGGTAAGGCGGTCGCGCCTGTCGTGCAGTCAACCAAGCATCCTCG